TAATGCATTTGTGACACGGTAAGACAAGATTTCGAAACCTTTTAAGGTTCCGTATTCCAAACGGATTGATTGATTTTATTTATATTTAAGTGATAATGGTTGTCCACCTATAACGTAGTGTTCTGAAACCTACAATGCGCCTTCGCGCCAAAATTCAAATTATTGGGTATTGTAACGTAGTGTTCTATATGGGTTAGGAGGAATGTTATCCCAGAAAATTGATAGAACATTACGTTACACACCCCTAAATTTTTTTTTTGATAATATTTATTTTTTCATAATGTGGTATTAAAACATACATACAACCATAAATTTTCTCTTCTACCATCTGGCCCTATTTTAATGGTGGTACGAAATTCGCTGGGACAGCTAGTTAATCTGTAGAATACTAGCTGATTCGGCGAACTTCGTACCGCCCAAAAGTAATAATATGCAATAAAATAATATTGCGACTGTAAATTCTGAAGTAAGCTATCGCATCTTTCAAGTTGGATCAAACAGCACACGGTGTGCAATTTTGATTAAAATCGGTTAAATAGTTTAGGAATTCATCCCGGACAAACACTTGACACGTAATTTATATATATTAAGATTTTTTCTCGAAAACAAACCAAATGTTCCGCTGACCGGGCGAATGCACTAATTCCTAGCATCTGTGGTAGTTCCTACAATAAAAATAATGTTAATATCAAGTCCCCAATTAGCGATGATTGCACTGATTATTAATATACTAGCAAACCAGTGAACCAAATGTTCACCAAAACCTGATTTCTCGAAAACCGGAAGTGCTACGTTACTCAAATCCGGTTTGTAGTCTTATCAGACTATTCTACTTCTATCTCTTACGGTTTGGCCGCTGAAACAGCACCACGGACAGACGGACTTGTCTAATAGATAAGAGATAATAATTGTATATTATTAACCTCATACTTAATATTAAGACATTTATTTACATTTAATATGTAAACAATAAATTTCTTTATACGTAGCAAGTGTTTTCTATTCTATGCTATTCTAGGCCAACATCATGTTTCTGAAGTGCAACCGTTTAAATCGCTTAAATATCGGAAGTTAACAAAGAGTAAAACACGTGGTAAATATTCCATTATTATAATATATATTTCATTACATAATGTTAACAAAGTTTTAGTTTGCGAGATTTAAAATGTAGGGAAATTGATGATTTACCCGACAACCCTTAAATCACGCACAAGCGGGCGGCCATTGGCATGCTTCACTCACGATTAGACGAGGTTAGGAAGTCTACCAATTTTCAGCTCTATGCGAATTATGGCTAAGTCAAATGTCTATTTTGATTGAACTTTAAGATGCGTGCAGGAATCTCTCCAAAGCTTTTAAATTTTATCGCGTCAGATGACGTTGCGTTCACTATTTACGAATCCCGAGACAGACTTTAGAGCGAAAAATTGAGTCGTAACTTTGCTAAATGCCGATCCGTTCACGGCGCCGACGGTAGCGAGCGCACGCCAACGTTTACGAGCAAGCAACGATAAATACAGGTTCAAACTTAGATTAAAACAAAAAGGGCAGATACGGCACTAGCCTCAGAAAAGTGATCCGCCTAAATTGGGGTCCACGACCCTAATCGCTTTAGTCACAACTTGACATGCAAACGACGTACATGTGAACGCCAAAAAGAAATATTGCTAATATTTTGTGTTTATATGATAAAACAATGCCTAAGTGTGTTTTTAAAAAGTTCTCAAATTGCTCAAGAACTAAAATTAAATTTACTTTTCATTAATAAGTACTATAAAATATATATTTTCATAAAAATTGCTGTTTGTTTTGAATCTTATTCGGTGATTGGTCGGTAGTGCAGTGACGCGGATCTCGCCGTCTCGTTCGCGCAGCCGTTGAAACTTAACGTGCCGTTTCGTTCGGGTCGGTAATGCGGTGACGCGGATCTCGCCGTCCCGTTCACGCTGCCGTGGGGTCAGTTTTTGTTCGATGCAAGTAGGAGCGTACTGTATCTACCCTTTTTGACGTGACAACGTCTTAAATTAGGTTGCGGCTGGGAGTCACTTATGAAAAAGTGTAACGCTCGGTAACGTTACGATGAGTCTCTCGTGTTAAGTTTAAGTTTACATGTACAATGTTTTAGTAAACAAAATATATTTCTATAGTTAAAATTTGTGCAATTCTTATTTTCATTCAATTCCTTGTTCCTATTGTGCAATTTAATTATATTCATATCAATAAATATTCTACCGAGAAAAAGACGTTGTCACGTAAAATCTTCGCCCGTAAAACCGACTTTACAGGCAACCATTTTTGTTTTAATCTAAGGGTTCAAATCGCGTTGCAGGGCGGGCGGAGTGGAGCGAGCGCGGCAGCGGAGGCGGCAGCGGCGCGAGAGCTCACGCTGGAGGCGCTGCGCCGGCACTCGCGGCAGATCGCCGCCCGGCGCGCGCGCCGCGTGCAGGTGCGTGTGGCCGGCCCGAGCCCGCCCGGCCCCGGCCCCGACCCAGGGCCCGGCCCCGGCCCCGACCCAGGGCCCGGCCCCGGCCCGCCCAGCGCCGCCGCCTCACCGCCCGCTTTGTTTCAGTTCACGGAGCGGGCGAGGGATGGCGGGCGCGGCGACGACGGCGCCGGTGAGTGCTCCTGCCCATGCGCCTGCGCCTGCGTCGCGCTATATTTAACCATCAGTCGCGTGTGGCGCGTGGCGGCTGCGCTCGCGCTGGTGGGCGCGGCCGCCGCTGACCGTGCGCTGTGTGTGCAGATAGCGGCGGCTCCGACATGTCCAACGGCAGCGGCGACGGCAGCGGCTGCGGCAGCGGTGGCGGCGGTCTCGGCGTCCCGGAGCTGGACACGCGGCGCCCGTCCACCTGCCGCGTGGAGCTGGGGTCGTTGCTGGCGCCCGAGCCGCGCCCGCTCGATAATAAGGTTAAGGTAAGATCGGTCGGGATTGTTACCTATATTATACGAATACATTAAATATGTTTTTAATCAATGTTATCATATATACAAGTAATAAAATGATACAGGTAATATGAACAAATTTAAGAATAATTAAAACAAAAAATATGCTATAGCAATGAACCTAAAACTAAAAACCTTAAAAAATAAAATATAATAACTAAAATACATTATTAAAAGGAGTCCCTTTTAGGCAAGGTTCCGAAGATACTGGCAGCGTTTTTGGATAGCTAGACTAATTCTTTGTCCGAGGTAGCTGCCAGCTCTTCGGTCTCCTGTGATGTCGACTAATCTTTTTGCTATTTCTTTAAAAAGCCTTATAGCGCTAGGACCCCACGGACCAAGAGTCTCAACACCGAATGGGACAAAGGACAATTATATGAATTGAAGACCGATATTGTTATTTATAAAATGTATAAGTTCGAAACAATGTCGATTACAACTTCTTTATTTGGAAGAATACTCATTTATTTACCTATCAAAGTTGTCAAAAACCTGTAAAATTTAAGGTACTACACACTCGATTCAAAGAAATTTAGTATGGTGAAAAGTTCAAGGAATAAATACTAGAATTCCATGATTTCCGTAAATATTGTAACTTCCACAGCAGTTGACCAGCTGTTACTGTAAAAGCGGACCATTTGCAAAAGTATCTTCACACTGTTATTGTTTAAGTTTTTACCCGACTGCGGACTTGCCGTTATTATTTCTATTTATCTATCTGATGTCGTAAAACTTATCTTTCATATCCTCATATAGTATATTAAACCTATAAATTATGTATTTGGCGAGTCTCTTTCCTTTTTCTTATCAGTTTCTTGTAAGTAGTAGATGACTCACTAATTAAGTTTAACAATTTACAGACATAATTATAGTGTCAGTTTTCCTGTAATTTCATATTATATTATCCATTAAAGCACAATGATTTTTTTGTGAAATACGCCCTAATTTGATTTATAATCTAGTTCAATGAAGTAGGTACTCGCAACTGAAAGCTTTGTAAGGCCTCGAGTTATTTAAGATGCATGAGCAGTCGGCAGTCGAGTGAGTAACTTTTGCCCCAAGTAAACTCTTCGCTGGCAATCACGTCTGCACAATCATGACACCTCCATCTAATGAAATCTTTGCATATAGATCAGTACGTGTCAGTACATATTATGTGACTTATCTGTATGAAATAACATTGCATGTCAACAAGACAGAATATGGCTGAACATAATATAATTTGTACTAGCAAACCAGTGAACCAAATGTTCACCAAAACCTGATTTCTCGAAAACCGGAAGTGCTACGTTACTTAAATCCGGTTTGTAGTCTTATCAGACTATTCTTAACTTATAACTTAAATATTCTCTTTATCTATCTCTTACGGTTTGGCCGCTGAAACAGCACCACAGACAGACGGACTTGTCTAATAGATAAGAGACTAGCAAACCAGTGAACCAAATGTTCACCAAAACCTGATTTAAAAAAAATATGTATTTAATTAATTGAGAACTTCAGAGATTTTGTGTGGTTTCGTTTGAAATTCGTGATTTCTCGAAAACCGGAAGTGCTACGTTACTCAAATCCGGTTTGTAGTCTTATCAGACTATTCTTAACTTATAACTTAAATATTCTCTTTATCTATCTCTTACGGTTTGGCCGCTGAAACAGCACCACAGACAGACAGACGGACGGACTTGTCTAATAGATAAGAGATACTTGAACACAACACAATAACCTGTATTCGCAATAAAAAATATTTGTATTTGAATTTGGAACACCTGGTCTCATCTAGGCCACGAAAGTAAAAAGTACACGTTTTTGTATTATTAATGTTATAAATAAAATTGTAGTTAAAAAACTTTCGTCAGGCAGACAGGGGTTGCTCGCAAACTGTCACATAAACAGTCATTTAAACTAAAAAGTAATTTGGAGCAAGTGCTCCGCTTCAAGAAGTTTATAACTACTTAACGAAATTAATAATTTAAGCTACCTAAACGTGTATGCGAGGAGCTCGATGGCGCAAGTGGTTAGCGCGTTCGGCTGCGATCGTTGAAGTTAAGCAACTTTCGCAGTGGTCGGTCATTGGATGGGTGACCAAAAATTTACTATTTCTAGCTCCTCCGTGCTTCGGAAGGCATGTTAAGCCGTTGGTCCCCGCTGCACCCGCCAGTCCGGACTGGGCCCGCGTGGTGGGTCGTAGTCCAATCTCCCTATTCCATCCACAGGGAAGGCCTGTGCCCCAGCAGTGGGGACATTAATAGGCTGATGATGATGAACGTGTATGATAAAAGTCGCGGTTGCACCTGTTCTCACATTATGCTCTCTTCTGTCTTCTTCTCTCATCATTCATCATTCATCTTGATTGTAGAAGGAAACTTCATGTTATCGCCAATAAAGAATAAGAGTGCCCCTACTTTTTGACGTATTATTTTTAAAGTAAAGCCGTCGTCAATTTGGTGATTCATGCTGGTAGCTAGCGGCACACTGCGTGATCGTCTCGAGTACTCGATACGTTGACATTACGAATCCGTCATAGTTCTTCTCTGGGGTACTGGATCCTGGAGCTAATTGTGTGGCAGACAGTATTGGCGTCCACTTATGCCTAATGGCTAATGGTTACATTTTTACCTAAGTGCTCCCATGGGAAATTATACAATAGCTCCACTCTTTATGGGGTTTGCTTGGTCCCCCACTGTGGGATATAAAGTTTATGGACAATCTTCATTCAATTTTGTTTGTAAGCTGTTACTGTTAGACGAATCTAGCAAAGTTCAGGGGCTTATTTATAGAATAAACCAGACCAGATGGATAGAAACAATTTTTTACGTCTTTGGATGCACATCAATCTATACTTTCATTCAATGAAGGAATACGCATAACCTTTTGATAAAGTCGATTATATAAAGTCATACAAAAGAGCTGTACATATTTAATTATGAATCAAATAGTTATTTAAAATGAAACAACTGTCACAGAAAGGTAAACGAACATGATTAATTAGGTATAAGTAATAGATTTTATAGGTACCTATATTTGAAAGGGCCTATTCAAGAGATTCTATGCGTAGTTAGATGTTGGAGCAAATAATTAATCAAGTCGTTCACACATGTCGCTCTGTTTACGCTCGGAGCGTGTGTATACATTCAAACATCATATTCGCGGCGAGTACTCCACGAAAGCTCTCGCCGCTCTCAAATTAGAGTCGAGTCGTGTAAACATTTTTATAAAAGAGCACGGTATTTCAATGAAATCGAACGGGACCTATAATGAACTTTGTCGTGATCCGTTGGCAATGTTATCGGAAGCACTGCCATCAGTGGCGAGGAGTCCCGGTCGCTGTTTTCCTAGTTCGTCCCGTTAGCATAATTCCGGTGTTAGGAGCGGAAGCGTAGGGAAACAATGATTTTTATAAGCGATAAAGTCACATCAAACGCTAGTCTGTAGTAGCGGGCGCGCTCCCACCGACGCGCGACGGACGGGTGGTGGTGGCCTCCTCGCGACCCATTTCCATAATGAGTGGGGTGCGCGGGTCGCGTGGGCGGCGCGGCCGCGGCACGTCGCCGGCACGTCGCCACCACGCCGCTGCTCCGCGTCGCGCCCGCCACGCCATCCGCGCCACTCACGCTGCCTTATAACCTGTCAACATCTCTCCTATCAACAAGTGACCTACTTCACAGTTTATCATAGGTATTCCATCATAACGAGACGCCTCCGCTCTTTGTTATAAGTATGCCAGACCTTGTCTTGTTTGTGCAGAGAAACTGATTTATAGGAGGTATTTTACTTACTAATTTATTATGAATAAGTAAATAATGGGGTTTTCCCAGAAAGGTATTTAGTTACACATTTATTCCTAAAGTTTTTTTTAACTATCGTTAAACAAAAAAAGTACGTTATATTATTTACATACATATAGGTAGGTTAGGGTGGATCGCTGTCACGCTGAAAAAACAGATCGTTTAGACCCGTAAAAGGGATAATAAAGCTTTTTTTGCATATTCACCTAACAGTTTGTAAGGGTTGGTCCCTAAATGAACTAATACTTTGTTACGTATATAACATTTATTTTTTAGAATAAATCGACTCGATTTAAATCAAAATTTGTAACGAAACAGAGACACAGCATCCATGGCATGACAGAGGAGGAAAATGTGGTGCGGCCGCATCAGGAGATGGCCGTGCTGTCCTTGGAGGAGAAGAAATACCTGCTGGGCGTGGAGCGCGGCGACGTGGCGGGCACGCGGCGCGTGCTGCAGCGCGCGCGCGACTGCGGACACATCAACGTGGACTGCGTCGACCCGCTGGGGCGCAGCGCGCTGCTCATGGCCATCGACAACGAGAACCTCGAGATGGTGGAGCTGCTGCTGGAGTTCGGCGTGGAGACCAGGGACGCTCTGCTGCACGCCATCTCCGAGGAGTTCGTGGAGGCGGTGGAGGCGCTACTCGACCACGAGGAGCGCTCCCGCAAGCCCGGGGAACTTCATGTACGATTTTATTCATTTTGCTATTTTGTCGACTTCCTTAGTCTCTGGTTGTGTACTACTTATCTTTGATAATAAAATATTTCCTTTCCTTTCCATTCCTTTGATAATAGGGATGACGACTATTTTATTTTCTTCATTTATCAGGTAGATTGTCAATAAGTATTGGACACGTATTTTTTCTTTTTTTCACATAATATAAACATTGCAGAGATATATTGATATGAAAAGTCGCATGTCGTCACGTTTGAGTACACTTGTAAGTGAAAATTCACTCAAAAGTGACGTCACGAGCTCCTACTCCCCCTAAACTTTGACGCGCTATAACTTTGTCATTTTTTGGTTGATTGCCCAAAGAAAAAATACGTGTCCATTATTTTTTGATCATCTAACTGACGGACTAAATAGAATTTCGTTTACTGTACCCCGTCATCACCCCTATTGTATTTACAGCTTCAATCACGTAGACTTGACAAGTCAATGTTTGTCTCCGGGACACAAGGATTAGGAATACCTGGTTCCGGAAGTATAATTATAGTATTATTGCTACAAATTAAGCCTTATAAGGGAAGGCCTGTGCCCCAGCAGTGGGGACATTTATAGGCTGACGAAGAAGCATTATCAGATCTTTGACAATTTCTAAGAATAAGATCATTTAATTGATTTATTGATTTTGATAAGGCTCTATGAATGCCCATCACTAAACTGTCTATGGTCAGAATTACCTACTTCTTTGATTACGTTTTGTCCAAATTCGTTTGGAACAGACTATAGGCTTATCACGCCTAAATGTAGTTTACTTATATATTTTATTATTTATTGTGTTACGTTCTGTATTCTTATGTCAAATAATGCTGTTTGTTAACGTCCTACGCGTAGTTGTTTGGGATTTCTATAAAAAAAATTACACACTGTTGTTGACACAATGACGTTCAAAATAAACAATAATATAAATATATGTGGCATCTACTCGTACCTACGTAGAATATGAGAGTTAAAATGTGAGAGTTTATGTATGTTTGGTGGTGTGTTACTCAATTATGCAAAAGCGGCTGAACGGATTTAAATGAATGTTTATTCCTTGGATTTGGGTAGATACCACTTAGTATGTATCTGGAACTGAGTAAATGATTATTTTCGGAGTTCATTGAAGGCCCACACAAGTAACCATCTCAAATCTGCTCATTTATGTTTGTCATGCTCGCGAATGTAGGTATATAGATTAGTTATAGATAATAACGGGATTGTTACCATGTACCTTGTTTTTTATGAGTCTCCGATATTTCGGCACTGTTGCAAGCGCCATGATCACATGATCACATGATAATTGCGGGTAGATGTTATTGGCAGACATATCGGTCTACCCTCTGACGTCGTCTTTTACTGCGTTCGATACTACCACTAACAATCCCGTTAATATCTATAATGTTAGTGACCATGAAAGTTTAAAACAATATATATAGATTAGTGTTTTGTAACTGCAGAGCTGGGAGGCGCTGCCGCCGGAGACGGCGACGTTCACGGCGGACATAACGCCGCTGATCTTGGCGGCGCACCGCGACAGCTACGAGATCATCAAGCTGTTATTGGACCGCGGTGCCGCGCTGCCCGTGCCGCACGACGTGCGCTGCGGTTGCGACGAATGCGTGCGCTCCCGCTTCGAGGACTCGCTCCGCCACTCCCGCTCCCGGATCAACGCGTATCGGGCCCTCGCCTCGCCCTCGCTCATCGCTCTCTCCTCCAAGGACCCGATCTTATCGGGTAAGTGGCTTTTTTAACCGAGAGAAATGCATGATACCTTTACTACGTCGCTGGGTAAGGCGACGAGCTTATGTGGGGTGGGACTTCCGCGTGTGCCTGACCCATATCTGATCGTACAACGTTTGCCTATCCAACAACTTCGAGTAGGTTCATCATCATCATCATCATCAGCCTATTAATGTCCCCACTGCTGGGGCACAGGCCTTCCCTATGGATGGAATAGGGAGATTGGGATGCGGTGCCCAGTGCGGATTGGTGGGCGCTAACGACTGCAGATGCAGCCGGGACCAACGGATTAACGTGCCTTCCGAAGCACGGAGGAGCTCGAGATCGTAAATTTTTGGTCACCCATCCAATGACCGACCACTGCGAAAGTTGCTTAACTTCAACGACCGCAGCCGAACGCGCTAACCACTTGCGCCATCGAGCTCCTCGAGTAGGTGGCTGGACCAAAACTGACAAAATTTCTATCGTCTAGCTGAATTTGAGTTCGCTAACCTACTTCTTGTCTACCGACTACCGTGGCTGGACTCTTTTGGAAAAGTCGTCAATAATAACCTGGCGAATATGTTGCATTAAACGTCTACCAGCTCTCAGCTCAGAATACACTCAACTGGTCGGTAAAAATAAGCTACGTTGTAATTCAGCTTTCGAGCTGTCGTGGGAGCTGCGGCGGCTGTCGGCGCTGGAGCACGAGTTCAAGACGGAGTACCAGGAGCTGCGCGTGCAGTGCCAGGAGTTCGCGACGGCGCTGCTGGACCACACGCGCACGTCGCACGAGCTGCAGGTGCTGCTCAACCACGAGAAGGACTCTCCCCAGGCGCCGCTGCCGGAGCCCGGCGCGCCCGAGCGCATGCGCCTGTCGCGGCTCAAGCTCGCCATCAAGCTTAGGCAGAAGAAAGTGAGTACTACTTTTTGACAAATATGATAAAACAGTAACTAGAATAAAACGTGACTTACTCTTTTCAAGCAAAAAGTTACTCAGGTTTCCAGTACATTCATGCCTCATTGCAATCTAAATAAACTTTTGCATAGGAAACAATTTGGTTTTACCAGAGGTAGATCTATTACTGACGCGGGTGTTGCACTTGTAAGGAGTACAATATTGGAGGCTTGGGAGAGGTCGCAGAATGTTCTTGGAATGTTCTGTGACTTATCCAAAACTTTTGATTGCGTTGTTCATCACACGCTGTTATTGAAATTAAGTCATTATGGAGTCAAAGGTACTGCATTATAAATTAATACAGTCGTATCTCAGTTCCAGAATTCAAACTGTAGAGGTAAATGGTGTTAGATCATCTGGATCTCATGTGGAACATTTGTTTTTATGCCTAAACAGTAGGACACGGCATTCCTAAACTTTTTTAAATCTGTTTTTTATATTTTTATTTTATAGTCATAATTGTTATATCATTTACTAATGTAATGGAAAGTGATTTCATGAGTTATCTCATATTAAAGTCAGTTTTCAATTTGACGACTCTGTATGTAATACAGGGAGAAAAAAACAGCCCTTGCTGAATTTCTTGCCGGTTCTTCTCGGTAAAAGTCTCCCGCCGCAGATTTGCGAACCGATGGTGTAGCTTTTCGACATTCACAAGTGCTTGTAACAGCCTAGACTGAATAAACGATACTGAATTTGAATTTGTTTATAGTATTCAGTCATCATTCGAAACGCGAACAGTTATTTGCAAAGACTGGTTTTCTCTCGGAATGTACGATAGTGTAAGCTAATCGATTAGATGTTAGCCCCCATCAATCTGCCCTGTTATGGATGGAAGGCACTTATTAATTCAGTGTTTCAAAATCAAAAAATCAAAAATCAAAAAGTTTATTACGATACTACATTTGTTGTACACCAAACCAGGGTGGGTTCCTTCTATTAAGTGTTTAACACCTGTACCAGAAGGAACCACTCTTCCATAGCATCATGAATATATCTTATGGTAAGGTCTATTCATTGGATTTTTAATACATTGTAAAAAAATAAATTACAATAGGGGTGATGACGGGATATATTATAGGAAATTCTATATAGTCCGTCAGTTAGATGATCAAAAAATAATGGACACGTATTTTTTCTTTGGGCAATCAACCAAAAAATGACAAAGTTATAGCGCGTCAAAGTTTGGGAGTAGGGGCTCGTGACGTCACTTTTGAGTGAATTTTCACTTATACATAAGTGTACTCAAACGTGACGTCATGCGACTTTTCAAATCAATATATTTCTACAATGTTTATATTATGTGAAAAAAGAAAAAATACGTGTCCAATACTTTTTGATAATGTACCTGATAAACGAAGAAAAAAAAAATAGTCATCGTCTCTATTTATATAAGCGGTTGAGTGTGTGTCTGTATGCGTGTGTGCGTGTTCGTGTGTGTGCATGTGCGTGAGTGTGACGAGTGTACGTTTCAATCAGAGGAATAATCGTTTCCCCATGAAAGCGAGAATATGACGAGTAACCTTATAAATTGGTTTGTCGCGCACGCAGTTCGTAGCACACCCCAACGTGCAGCAGCTACTGGCGTCCATCTGGTACGAGAGCGTGCCGGGGTTCCGGCGCAAGAACATGCTGCTGCAGGCGGCGGAGATGGTCCGCATCGGCGCCATGTTCCCGCTCTACTCGCTGGCGTACGTGGCCGCGCCGCACTCCGCCGCCGGCCGCACGCTGCGCAAGCCCTTCATCAAGTTCCTGTGCCACTCCGCCAGCTACTTCATGTTCCTATGTGAGTCATTAATACGTACTAATGGTTCCGGCGCAAGAACATGCTGCTGCAGGCGGCGGAGATGGTCCGCATCGGCGCCATGTTCCCGCTCTACTCGCTGGCGTACGTGGCCGCGCCGCACTCCGCCGCCGGCCGCACGCTGCGCAAGCCCTTCATCAAGTTCCTGTGCCACTCCGCCAGCTACTTCATGTTCCTATGTGAGTCATTAATACGTACTAATGGTTCCGGCGCAAGAACATGCTGCTGCAGGCGGCGGAGATGGTCCGCATCGGCGCCATGTTCCCGCTCTACTCGCTGGCGTACGTGGCCGCGCCGCACTCCGCCGCCGGCCGCACGCTGCGCAAGCCCTTCATCAAGTTCCTGTGCCACTCCGCCAGCTACTTCATGTTCCTATGTGAGTCATTAATACGTACTAATGGTTCCGGCGCAAGAACATGCTGCTGCAGGCGGCGGAGATGGTCCGCATCGGCGCCATGTTCCCGCTCTACTCGCTGGCGTACGTGGCCGCGCCGCACTCCGCCGCCGGCCGCACGCTGCGCAAGCCCTTCATCAAGTTCCTGTGCCACTCCGCCAGCTACTTCATGTTCCTATGTGAGTCATTAATACGTACTAATGGTTCCGGCGCAAGAACATGCTGCTGCAGGCGGCGGAGATGGTCCGCATCGGCGCCATGTTCCCGCTCTACTCGCTGGCGTACGTGGCCGCGCCGCACTCCGCCGCCGGCCGCACGCTGCGCAAGCCCTTCATCAAGTTCCTGTGCCACTCCGCCAGCTACTTCATGTTCCTATGTGAGTCATTAATACGTACTAATGGTTCCGGCGCAAGAACATGCTGCTGCAGGCGGCGGAGATGGTCCGCATCGGCGCCATGTTCCCGCTCTACTCGCTGGCGTACGTGGCCGCGCCGCACTCCGCCGCCGGCCGCACGCTGCGCAAGCCCTTCATCAAGTTCCTGTGCCACTCCGCCAGCTACTTCATGTTCCTATGTGAGTCATTAATACGTACTAATGGTTCCGGCGCAAGAACATGCTGCTGCAGGCGGCGGAGATGGTCCGCATCGGCGCCATGTTCCCGCTCTACTCGCTGGCGTACGTGGCCGCGCCGCACTCCGCCGCCGGCCGCACGCTGCGCAAGCCCTTCATCAAGTTCCTGTGCCACTCCGCCAGCTACTTCATGTTCCTATGTGAGTCATTAATACGTACTAATGGTTCCGGCGCAAGAACATGCTGCTGCAGGCGGCGGAGATGGTCCGCATCGGCGCCATGTTCCCGCTCTACTCGCTGGCGTACGTGGCCGCGCCGCACTCCGCCGCCGGCCGCACGCTGCGCAAGCCCTTCATCAAGTTCCTGTGCCACTCCGCCAGCTACTTCATGTTCCTATGTGAGTCATTAATACGTACTAATGGTTCCGGCGCAAGAACATGCTGCTGCAGGCGGCGGAGATGGTCCGCATCGGCGCCATGTTCCCGCTCTACTCGCTGGCGTACGTGGCCGCGCCGCACTCCGCCGCCGGCCGCACGCTGCGCAAGCCCTTCATCAAGTTCCTGTGCCACTCCGCCAGCTACTTCATGTTCCTATGTGAGTCATTAATACGTACTAATGGTTCCGGCGCAAGAACATGCTGCTGCAGGCGGCGGAGATGGTCCGCATCGGCGCCATGTTCCCGCTCTACTCGCTGGCGTACGTGGCCGCGCCGCACTCCGCCGCCGGCCGCACGCTGCGCAAGCCCTTCATCAAGTTCCTGTGCCACTCCGCCAGCTACTTCATGTTCCTATGTGAGTCATTAATACGTACTAATGGTTCCGGCGCAAGAACATGCTGCTGCAGGCGGCGGAGATGGTCCGCATCGGCGCCATGTTCCCGCTCTACTCGCTGGCGTACGTGGCCGCGCCGCACTCCGCCGCCGGCCGCACGCTGCGCAAGCCCTTCATCAAGTTCCTGTGCCACTCCGCCAGCTACTTCATGTTCCTATGTGAGCCATTCATCATCATCATCATCAGCCTATTAATGTCCCCACTGCTGGGGCGCTGGCCTTCCCTATGGATGGAATAGGGAGATTGGGCCATGATCCACCACGCGGGCCCAGTGCGGATTGGTGAGTGTTAACGACTGCAGATGCAGCCGGGACCAATGGCTTAACGTGCCTTCCGAAGCCCGGAGGGGCTCGAGATAATAAATGTTTGGGCACCCATCCAATGACCGACCACTGCGAAAGTTGCTTAACTTCAACGATCGCAGCCGAACGCGCTAACCACTTGCGCCATCGAGCTCCTCAAATCAATGTAAGCCATTAATACGTACTATAATGTGATTCAAATAAGAATAGGAAAGCCAATGACCTCTATCTGTCAAATGTCGCTTGAAAAGTACGGTATGAAAAAAAAAAACTTGAAACCGTTTTTTAGCACTCCGCTAATTCAAGAATAAAAACCAAACATTTGTAAACAAACAATAACAAATATTGATAATTAATATCGGTTGATATTTTTTTTCACTTATTGAGCTTTGGCCATAAATGGTTGATAACCTAAATCGTCAAAAAAATATGACCGTTTTCTACCCCGAAGGGAGGAAAACGAGTATTTCAGGTCTTGCCTAGGCTTGACCTTCCGGAGATTACCCTACCTGTTCCTCATATGTGCAAGCGCTTGTAGTACCTACTTAGCTGGAGTGAGTCAGATAGGGTGGGGTCAGCGAACCCCGCACGAGTGCCGGCCAGGCACGGTGCCGATCACGCGCCCGTGCCTCTTCAGTACCGAACCGGAACTGGGTCAAGTTCTCTTAGTAGTGATGACGGCAAGGGAATTGCTCCAGGTCAAGCCTAGGCAAGACCTGAAATACTCGTTTTCCTCCCTTCGGGGTAGAAAACGGTCATATTTCAGTTCTGTGCCGTCGGCTTGACCTTCCGGAGAAGTGTTTCTATATCTGCCGGCACATAGGTAGCGTACTGTGACCAAAATGAATGTATTGTATTTTAATAAAACTATTTCCTGTACCAAACTTAAACTTTATTTCACGGAGGAAACGATCACAGTATAATAAACAGGAGAAATATATTATTATAACAGGCTTAATTATGTTCAATCACAGATAAAATAATAACTTAAAACTGATCCTTCAGTCTTCAACTTAAAAGATAATATTAAAATAAATCACTTCTTAAAACAATAATTAAGGAACAATAATGTTATAATCAGTCTTAACCATAATAATCTAAATAAATTCAAAAGACTCTAAACGGGTTCAAAAGTATGTAACAAAACGTTATCACCGTGGCGCGAGGGCGCCTTCACCGGCTTGTAATAATGATTGAAAAAATTATTAGCGCCTCGCCAATTACCTCTCTTTAACAAATCATCTAAAGGTAAATTATTTTCATAATTGTAAGAAGCCACGGCTGACCGAATGGATCCTGGCGAAACTTCCAAACCCAATTTAGTAAATATTGGTTTTAGCCACCCAGCAATAACAGATCTGGATGCCGGTTTTACTTTTCCTCTAGTGGTAATAAAGAGATTAGATAAGTTATCTGAACAAGATTGACGCCTAATGGCCGAAATTTCTAACAATTTTTTTTATCCATTTTATTAAGTCTAACCTATCGTCGGAGTTTTTAAGAATTAGCCAGCCTGATTGTCTGTGCTTATCTTTATCCGTTTTTGAGCCAAAAACTGGCCAGAATGTTATAGAATCATCTTTCATTGAACAATGCTTTTCATCAGTTCATTATAAAGTTAAGTCGTGAATCCTTCTACCTGAGACTAAAAGTAACATTAAAGCACAGAATCTGGACACTTGATATATACTATTAACATTTGGAGGATTACTTTGAAGCCAAGTAATTAAATCTTGTATATTCCAAACCTGTGGACGTGGTTGAATACGTTCAGCTGATTTTATACTAATAGCCTTTAAGATAGACTTTATAACAGGATGGGAACTGAAGCTATGTGACTCTTTGGGTTTAGCGAATGTAGTTATAACCGATTTTCTAACTAAGATTGTATTATAAGCCATGCCTTTAACACGAAATAGGTAACTGAGATATGTCGCTACTTGATAAGGCTCCGGGTTATTTGGAGTTACACCTTCATCTTTACACCATTTCGTCCAATCTTTCCATGCCGAGGTGTATGTTTTCCACGTCGAGGTCCTCCAAGCGAACTTTAGCAATTCGACATCCTCTGAAGACAAATCTTTGACTAGCTCATTCCACCCCGTACTCTCCATACCTCCAAAGTCATGCCCGATACATCCGGAGGCGGGCTGTTCGTTGCTAGATCTATTAAGTAAGGTTTCAGATTCTTGAATACCATGGGAGCCGCCGTAGCTCTGGTTTTGAGAGTCGTGCACCAAAAGGCCTGTGTCCACCTGGGAACCACGATCAGATACGTTCCGCTGGGCTGATTAAGGTGTTTTATGACTTTGGGAATCAATGGAGGGGGTGGAAAAATCCATCCTAGGTCGTAATCCCACCTTTTGCTGAATGCATTTACGTAAACTGCCTGCAAATCCGTTGCGTCTATCGTCACATATTTGGGTACAACTTTGGACCGCGACGTCGCGAACAGATCTATCTGCGGAGTTCCCCATCGTTTGAAGACTTTTTGCGTCAATTCTTCTTTTAGATGCCAATCCGTTGCTAGAGAACTGCGAGACAGGCGATCCGCTATTATGTTGTACTTTCCTGGTATAAAGTAAGGAACAAGTACCGCGCTGATTTGCTTCGCAAGTAGGAGTATCCTTTTCGTCATGAGAAATAATTGGAGAGACTTTGTTCCTCCTTGGTTGCGCAAATAGGAAATGACTGCACGATTGTCTGCTTGAATCATTACAACCTTGTTCCTGACCACCTTTCTGAACTTTTTTAGAACTATATATACCACGAAGAGCTCTTTTAAGTTTATGTGCCATTTCCTTTGAGCTGGGCGCCACGTTCCCGAATAACGAAATGTCTCTATCTGTATGCCCCATCCCGAATTTGAAGCATCCGTTGTGACAA